AATTACCTGTGCTTACACCACAAATGTAATCAAAGAGCTGATGAATTGGCTTCTGAGTAAGTTCAACTAGTTTTCGAAGTGTCTGAATAGTAACCACACCTCTGTAGAAAAGATAAAAAGCAGAGTAAGAATTTTTGTCTCAAAGATATTTAAGTTACTAAATAAAACTCCACAAAGTTGCTTTGCAATTTAAATACTAAGAGGAAAGCTAATACTATACACTATGAGCAGTAAAAACTTGTCTAACCACGCTGTTAAAATTACTTTTGAAAATTCAGTATGCATTGTTATAAAACCCTGGGCTATGACAGCATGATTTTGAATGTTCATTAATCTCTTTAAGGACAAATATATACCAATGTAAAATTGTTTTTAAACACCCCAACCTTTCAAATACTTGTTAACGGTGACTCACCACTCAGGATGCCATCGTTTTGTTTCTTTTCTTACCCAAGCAGCTGGTCTCACCGAGAGTCTTATACATTTCTGTTTTACATAATTTATTTTTTTTATTTTCTAAACTTCTCAACAACCTTTAGTATATGTTCCTTGAGGCTGCTGACTTTATTCAGCTCTAGGTCTTGGGCTTTACAGAGGACTATCGAAGAGGAAATAGCCAAGGGAGTGGAGGGCATTGGAGGGTGCACATACCAAGTGAACGAGATATTCAACACTGAGAGAATAAACAAAAACAACGGAGAGATTCCAGGCCCGATACAAGATGTGGGGATAATAAATCCTGGAACACCATGATTGTTATTCACCATAAGATAAAAATACATGGTAGAAATTTGTGCCCTGATGCCTTAGGCAGAGAATATTCTAAGAGAGAAGTGAAAAACTGAAGATGCCAATTCTTTTTTTCTTGGGGGCGGGAGGGCAACAAATAACGCAGATCTGATGAGAGGTCAGAAATCTAAGGCGACATGCTAAGAGAATACACTATGGAGTTCCAGGTGAGACAGGCAGAATTAAAGATAATGTTAGATACACATATTCGTACTTAACAATGTAACCCCACTACTTTTATAAAAAGTATATAAAATGTGACTTCTCTTCACACAGAAAAGATAGAAGAATCAATATATTAAAAATAATCTTGGGAGTTGTGAGTTGATTTTTAATCTACTTTCATATTGTTTTCTTCTTGTCTAATTACTAGCATAATGGGGGAAAGGAGTTAAATTGCTACATGTATATATTTATAATTAATTTTTAAATACCTAACTTACCGAGTTGCTAATATGCTACTATGCCTAACACTGCACTGTTTTTGCTCTTAGGTGTTTCCAAACTGATTTAGACTCATAATAAGCTTATATATGTAATAGAACAAAATATTGCCCAGGCCTGCGCCACCTCACAATCCCATTGCTATGTTTGAGTCTATTGTTGCAGCCATTGTTGCCAATTCATCTTGTCGAAGATCTTCAACATATCCCAAATAAGAAAGACCAAGTCTCATCACCCTTGTTTCTAAGGAGCATGCATCCCGGCTGTACTTCTTCCAACAGATTACTTTGTTCTTCAGAAAGTCGTGGTACATTCAATTCTTCACCAGCACTATATTTGTGTCAATTCTT